GTATCACCAATATCTGGGGTATGTAAGATATTTTACTGGTATCACCAATACCTGGGGTATGTAAGATATTTTACTTGTATCACCAATACCTGGGGTATGTAAGATATTTTACTTGTATCACTAATACCTGGGGTACGTAAGATATTCCAACAAAAACAATAAATCAGGATGTTAAACAATCACATATATTCATGATGCATACTAAAATGACAAACAAGAATTGATGTGATGTGCAAGAACATTTCAGAACAGAAAGGCAACCTTGGTAGCCCATTCCTTTTGATCTGCCATCAGCTGTCTGACATTTTAAAATCCTATTTGACACGGTAACACCCAGGGTGTTTACTTTCTACAACAAGACACTTTTGGAAGCTGCACTGGTACACAACAATCTGATTAAAATCATCTGTTCATGGCATAGTATGAAGTTAACAGAGCCTAACAGATGATTTTAATCAGATAGTGGTACACAGGTATTGTGCTTGTACTATTTAAAACAAAAGTAAGAACGACATAAACAATACAACAATCAGTGAAATATCACTGCTAATCAACAAGCAGATTCATATGTTCAATCACAGGTACTAGCCTCGTCTATCAATACACCTATAATAGTATAGGTGTATTGATAGACATGGCTAGTACCTATGGTTCAATAGCTATTAAACTGATCTTAAAACTATGACATATTTAAAGATACACTGTATTTAATGATATGTCAAATAGCTTTATTTCATCTCAAACTGTCTGATATAGAAAACAAAACTTGGAATTCATGGCTTATTAATTGAATACATATTTGGAATGTACACGTCAAGTCAATTTCAACACAAACATAATGCTACTGGTAATGTATGAAAGTCTACTCCGTGGTGATAACTCTTACACAAATAATGGGTGACAGTAAAATGTATTCACATATAATTTTTTTAAATGGAATAAAAATAATTAGAATTAATTAAATGTGAATGCCACTGAACTCTATTATAGATATCCAGTGACCTATATCTAAGAGGATGTGATTTTTAGTGGATGCAGGGCCCTGCCTTTACATCCACTTCCATATAATGAGAAGATAAACTGTGATGATTGTAAAATTCAGTCTATATTTATATATAAGATGTGTGATCATATTTCATCTTAAATTCTTTCCAGAATTGACACAATGAGAGACCACGTATGTATCATCAATTTTATATTGTATCATCAATAATTTGTTGTAAGATCTGGTAATAAGATCAAACATCAAGTACTAATAGCATGTTGTTTATTTCAGGATGAGTCCACTTTGTAACAAAAAAGCTCTTTTGAATTCCTGTATACTTTTTTTTTAATAATGCAAATGTTTATGTAAAAATATTGACTAGTTGATACCACCACATCTCTAGTATACTAGTATTGAAGACTAGAATACTGACAGGTCAGTAAGGGCCCCACTGTATGCCTGACAGTGTGTTTCCCGTATAAGCACCAAGCAAAAGTGATAATTGACTGTTCAAAAAGGACCATTTACATTACATTTTTGACAGTATATGTCCTGTTCGATTTTAAAGTAACTGCAACGTTGACCTTCAAAATGTTTTAAACTCCTACTTATTGCACATGAACCATCTTGTGAAAATTCAGAAAATTTGGCCTTCTGTAAGGGCCTTGTATGATGTATTTTTGACAGTATATTCCTGGTTCTTTTTTTAGTAACAGCGACCTTTACCTTAGAAATTTTTTAAACCACTATTGCACATCTGCATATAATTAGTGTATTATCACAAGAAATTACAGAAAGTTTGTCCTTCTGTTAGGGCCTTATATGATGTATTTTTGACAGTATATTCCCAATTCCGTTTTTTGTAACAGTGACCTTGACCTTAGGAATATTTGAAACCCCTATTGCACATCTGCACATCACAGTGCATCACCATGTAAAATTTCACAACTTTTGGCCATCTGGATCATGAGATTATCTCCAGAAACAAAAGTGCTGACAGACAGACTGCAGGACACCGTAATTACTATAGGGCACCTGTATTTTGCGGGGCCCTAATAAATATTCTGGCCAGTTGAAATTTGCCAGGTTATTTAGATCATTGTATTACAGGGTATTCAATACTACCTTACATGTACACTGATTACCTATCTATTTATCTAATAAACCTTTATCTCGCATAAATTGCAAGTCAAAAACTACATTTATCATATTCATGCCCCACACATGCACAGCTGGACACAGATTCACATATCACTTTTACTGAAATCTTTTTCTTATGAACAGCTGGACACTTACATAGATCTTGACATCCTTTTCACCAGTTTATGCACAGCTTGACACAGATTGATCTTTACATTATCAGCAGAAGTCTTCTCTAAACACATTTGTAGGGTCTCCAATATGCTTCCTTATGCTTATATACACAGTCCACAACATTTAAACATGTATCTCTCATTGATTTTAAAAAGGATATTTTGACCTGCAAATAATCCCCACATTAACATTCAAAAACATCGCTATATATAGATATAGATATATAGATATATATATACAAGATGAAGTATAAATAGTGTGAATATAATCTTTTTGATGCTAGTGAGTAGACAGCTTGGAGGATTGGGCCGTGGAGACATTCAGTAGGGACTAATCACACAGGACAGAGTAACGCACAATATTGACAAGTGTCAGATGTTTGAGCTGCTAGAAGTTTTCTTTGTTGTAGTAGAACTTAGTGCCTTCCTTGGCATCTGAGTGGTTGTTACACATTTGATGGAGGGTGTTGGACAGTCCACTCGGACCACAGAAAAATGTACCTATACTGGTCCTGTAACAGAAAACATAAGTTCTGTAATAGTAAAACAACTATACTGGTCCTGTAACAGAAAACATAATTCCTGTAATAGTAAAACAACTATACTGGTCCTGTAACAGAAAACATAAGTTCTGTAATAGTAAAACAACTATACTGGTCCTGTAACACAAAACCATAACTATACAGGTCCTGTAACAGACACATCTCTGATTTTATTTATCATTGAGACAGTTTTAGAACTAACTGAAACAGATATTTAGGTTTCTGTTTCATATTTGAAACATAGAAGAAACGTTAGGATGTTGACCGGTCAGTTTTCAACTCTCAATTAACTCTTACACTGTTGGATATATGTCACATACACATTGTAGCTCTAGTCGGTTTTGATTTTGTGTATATAGATACTTCAGAAAAATGCATTACAAGAAAACATTCACCCCGCTATCCTTCTCACACCACTGGTGAAATGAAAACCACGTAAAGGCAGGTTGTTTCTGGTGTAGATGAACGGTGCTTCAGACATAACAAATGAGAACATTTTGTAAAGATCTCTTGAACAATTTTCTAAAAGTTTGGTAATTTTTCTCATTTCCCTGTTTATATAAAAAGTTACAAAAGTAAAAACCTCTAGTACAGCGAAAGGCACCTCTAGATCATTGGTGTGAAACCTGAACTACAAGATCTTTGAAGATCCCGCACTCATTGGCAATTTCATAGGTGTGGCATATAATCTCACAAATCAAACTGGAGGCAATGCAAAGCTATACTATGTTGACCCTGCTCTACAACACATCCTTCATTTACTGTGAAACAAACAGGTCATAATTACCCTTTGTTTTCAGCGGCTAAACCTTTGAATATTTCATTCCAGTTAGGACGACCATAATGTGTCTTCTGCTGCAATCCTGTCACAGGGTCACTCTCATCCTCGTCTTCATGTAGGATGATGTTCTGAGCCTGCAGTACAACACATACTGAGTTATCTAATGAAAGGTAGATACAGAACTAAATTAAGGTCAGCAAAACATCAAAAACAGTGTACAGGCAGGACAAATTTGTACAACAACATTCATTTAACTGCAAAATTGTTGTTGAAAGCATGGGGACCCCCTCCTCTTTCCACTCTACCCCACCCTAGTTACATGTCACCTGGTGATCCGACTCCTCACCCTTATGACACACTATATGCTGATCCCTCGATCTCCTGGTGACTTGACCCTGTCATCCCCTCATAACTCTTTACCTGCATGGTGACATGATTTCCTCTTTCCCAAGGTAAGATCATTTCTGGCGACCTGCTTCATTTCTCTCTATAGTAATTAAAGGCCCTGCCTGTTGACCTGTAACCCCCTTATTTCCATAGTAACACCTTACCTGGTTTTTGTCCCAACCCCGGGTTAGGTATATGAAGTATTGTAGAAATTTTTCACGGTCAGGCACCCCCCCTTGCTGCTGATCAAACTCTTGTAGCAGGTCCTGCATCCACTCAAAGGAATTGGTATCAGGACAAACCCAGTAGAAGTACACCTTCTTAAGCTTCATTTCTGCCTTGGAATCCATATGGAGATACCTAAAAGAATTTAGATAGTATGTGTAGGCAGAGAAAGGAGATACCTACAGAGGTATCATGATTGTTATTCCCTCTTTTATCATAATTCTTTCCTGATGAATCTGAGCTTTACACACTATTACACATACAGTGACATTATAAATAGCCCAGCCTACACAGAAAAGCAAGATATGTTTACTGTCAGTAAGTACAGAAGTAACAAACCTGGCCTGTACAGGGATATAGAAATAACTAACTTGACCTGTATTGAAGAAGTCTTACCAGAGATGTTTAAGTATAGAAATTACTAACCTGGCCTGTACAGGGATATAGAAATAACTAACTTGATCTGTACTGAGGAAGTCTTACCAGATATGTTTAAGAATAGAAGCAAAAGGTGTCACTCCAATTCCTGCAGCTATAAAAACATCCACCTCGTACAAGCAGATGTCCTGAAATAGATAAAAAAATATATACCCATACAGTATAATATTTAACAAGACATATTTCCAATAAAATATCAGTTCACTTAGTGACACTGTGAGCACAAAATGATACAAACTTTCGGGATCATGCAACCATTCCTTATCAGAGGATAGAAATATGACTTATATATGCCCTTGATAGAGTTCACCTGGAGGTATTACTTTTAAAATCACTTTTATAAAAAAAATCTTGAAAGAATCACTGTTCCTGTTGGAAAGAACTGTTTGGAGCTTACCTGTAACTTGTTTTGTTGATATATTTAGAGTAAACAAGACACATTTGCAGAATCAATGTTTCTCTAGCTCTCCAAAATCAAATGAAATGGTTGTAGACACTTCTTTTTATGGTTGTAAATTCACTATTTCCCTGATAAAAACTTTGAATTTGTTAAATCATTGGGGATTTTCTTATAATCCCAGTTCGACTGCAACCAGGAAAATTGTAAAAGTAAATATTCAACCACTAAAGTGTCCCCCCACTCTACAGGAATGTTTCTACTGTGATTACTATCTCCCTTACCTCTGTAGCAGTTCCAAATGGACCATCCACTGCTACTCTGTTAAGAAAAAATAATATTTCTACAATGATTATCAATGTGACAAACAAAGAGATGTGTAAAACAACAGCCCAGTATTTATCTAGCATGTGTATCTAATAGTGTTACAGAGTGGTGGAGAATGGAACAGTGAAGGACTGGTGGGGAGATGTTTACAATCCAGTTAGAATCGGACTGGTGGGGAGATTTTTACAATCCAGTTAGAATCGGTCTGGCGGGGAGATGTTTACAATCCATTTAGAATCGGACTGGCGGGAAGATGTTTACAATCCAGTTAGAGTCGGACTGGCGGGGAGATGTGTACAATCCAGTTAGAATCGGATTGGTGGGGAGATGTTTACAACCCAGTTAGAATCGGACTGGAGGGGAGATGTTTACAATCCATTTAGAATCGGACTGGCGGGGGGGTGTTTAAAAACCAGTTAGAATCGGACTGGTGGGGAGATTTTTACAATCCAGTTAGAATGGGACTGGCGGGGAGATGTTAACAATCCAGTTAGAATCGGACTGGCGGGGGGATGTTAAAAATCCAGTTAGAATCGGACAGGCGGGGAGATGTTTACAATCCAGTCAGAATCGGACTGGCGGGGAGATGTTTACAATCCAGTGAGAATCGGACTGGCGGGGGGGGGTTTTCAAATCAGTTTGAATCGGACTGGCGGGGGGGGGTTTTCAAATCAGTTTGAATCGGACTGGCGGGGGGATGTTAAAAATCCAGTTAGAATCGGACAGGCGGGGAGATGTTTACAATCCAGGTAGAATCGGACTGGCGGGGGGATGTTTACAAACCAGTTAGAAACGGACTGGCGGGGAGATGTGTACAATCCAGTTAGAATCGGACTGGCGGGGAGATGTTAACAATCCAGTTAGAATCAAATTTCAATTATCAGTTTCACTATTTACTATACATTATTCTAGATAATTTTGGTACAGTGAAAAACTCACCCTTCCAGGGCAAATAACCCATTTTCTCACAAACAAAAATCTGTCTTCATTGTAAATACAGTGAAACATAATATTCATTTAGTGTTAATTTTGGTCTTAAGTGTAAATGCATTGTATTATAATATTTGCTGTCATGGTAAATTGAAAGCTGCAGAGAACATTACTTTAATACCGGTGATATCAGATGTTATATTACTAGTTTTGTTTAATGCCTAAATGTGTGTTAGACTATACCAAGACAGTTACCAAATGAGGTAACAAGGTTTTTTATAAGGCTTTAATGAGTGTGATATGTTACCGAGGTAGTTTCCATTGCTCCTGGACCTCAGTGTCGTCCACGTGACATTCTTTGGCTAGAGCTTCCGTCCAGTCTCCTACTCGCCGGATGTGGACGGAAAAGTAGTCATCCTCAGGAGCCTGTCAACAGAGCACGGATTAATGAACTTACTTCTGGTAAACATCTAGTTATACAATTTTACCTATTTATTGGAATACAGTTGACAGTTGGAAGTTTGGTGTCCATAAGGAGATAATATCAATCTTTCATCTGCGAATATTAAGGACGTCTTAGGCAATTCCAAAAGCGAAAGAGGCTGCTACATACTTTAAGAAAGAGAATAAAACAAGGTCATTCTTTACATTGTAATCATGAAGGATAGAAACACAGATGTGAGAAACTTGGCCTTACATAATGGAAACCACTCCATACTTATGGAAACGAGTGTAATGGGTGGCAACACTATATACAGATGTGAGAAAGGTCATAGATAACAAAGGTCAATTCACACTTACACACATGAGAATAAAGGGAGGCCACTCTACAAAATGCTGTGAAGTTAACAGATGTGACAGTAAAGGGAGGCCACTCCATACAGGGATTGAAAGAGTGGCTATATAACAAATGTCACTTCATACCAACAGATGTAAGAGTAATGGGCGGCAACTCCACACAAGGAGGTGACTTCATACTTACAGGCATAAGAGTAAATGGAGGCCAATATTCCATACACTGACGTGAGAGTGGCCATATGTAACAAAGTTCACTTAATACTTACAGATGTAAGTTTAAAGGGATGTCACTCCAGACACTGAGGTGAGAGCGGTCATATACATATGTAACAAAGGTCACTTCCTACTTACAGATGTAATTATAAGGGGACACCACTATGTAACAAAGGTCACTTCCTACTTACAGATGTAATTATAAGGGGACACCACTATGTAACAAAGGTCACTTCCTACTTACAGATGTAATTATAAGGGGACACCACTATGTAACAAAGGTCACTTCCTACTTACAGATGTAATTATAAGGGGACACCACTATGTAACAAAGGTCACTTCCTACTTACAGATGTAATTATAAGGGGACACCACTATGTAACAAAGGTCACTTCCTACTTACAGATGTAATTATAAGGGGACACCACTATGTAACAAAGGTCACTTCCTACTTACAGATGTAATTATAAGGGGACACCACTATGTAACAAAGGTCACTTCCTACTTACAGATGTAATTATAAGGGGACACCACTATGTAACAAAGGTCACTTCCTACTTACAGATGTGAGTGTAAGGGGACACCACGCCACACACTGAGGTGACAGAGGCCATATGTAACAAAGGTCACTTCCTACTTACAGATGTGAGTGTAAAAGGATGCCACTCAAGCCTGGATATGGAAGGACAGTGAAGGAATATGTACTGTCCTTGACTCATCTTGAATCCCTTTCTCTGCATCTGTAGCTGGAACACTTTTGATGGATGCTTCACCAACTGTGAGAAGGAAATCAACATAATCAAATATTATTTGAATCAGAAAAAAGAGAGTTGGGCTAACATAAACAAACTCCCCACCCAAGAATAAGTGATCAAGTGTGACTATTTACCTTGACAAGTGATCAGAGAAGTTTACTGGGACTTTAATAGAGATGCAGGGGGTTCAGCTGGGGCTTAGGGGAGAACAATGAGGGATGAGACGGCTTAGGGGAGAACAATGAGGGATGAGACGGCTTAGGGGAGAACAATGAGGGATGAGACGGCTTAGGGGAGAACAATGAGGGATGATACAGCTTAGGGGAGAACAATGAGGGATGAGACGGCTTAGGGGAGAACAATGAGGAAAGAGACGGCCTAGGGGAGAACTATAAGGGATGAGACTGCTTAGGGGAGAACAATGAGGGATGAGACGGCTTAAGGGAAAACAATGAGGGATGAGACGGCTTAGGGGAGAACAATGAATGATGAGATGGCTTAGGGGAGAACAATGAGGGATGAGACGGCTTAGGGGAGAACTATGAGGGATGAGACAGCTTAGGGGTGAACAATGAGGGATGAGATGGGTAAGGGGAGAACAATAAGGGATGAGATGGCTTAGGGGAGAACAATGAGGGATGAGACGGCTAAGGGGAGAACTATGAGGGATGAGACGGCTAAGGGGAGACCAATAAGGGATGAGATGGCTTAGGGGGGAACAATGAGGGATGAGACGGCTTAGAGGAGAACAATGAGGGATGAGACGGCCTAGGGGAGAACAATGAGGGATGATACGGCTTAGGTGAGAACAATGAGGGATGAGATGGCTTAGGGGAGAACTATGAGGGATGAGACGGCTTAGGGGAGAACAATGAGGGATGAGATGGCTTAGGGGAGAAAAATGAGGAATGAGACGGCTTAGGGGAGAACAATGAGGGATGAGATGGCTTAGGGGAGTACAATGAGGGATGAGACGGCTTAGGGGAGAACTATGAGGGATGAGACAGCTTAGGGGTGAACAATGAGGGATGAGATGGGTAAGGGGAGAACAATGAGGGATGAGATGGCTTAGGGGAGAACAATGAGGGATGAGACGGCTTAGGGGAAAACAATGAGGGATGAGACGGCTTAGGGGAGAACTATGAGGGATGAGACAGCTTAGGGGAGAACAATGAGGGATGAGATGGGTAAGGGGAGAACAATGAGGGATGAGATGGCTTAGGGGAGAACAATGAGGGATGAGACGGCTTAGGGGAAAACAATGAGGGATGAGACGGCTTAGGGGAGAACAATGAGGGATGAGACGGCTTAGGGGAGAACAATGAGGGATGAGACGGCTTAGGGGAGAACAATGAGGGATGAGACGGCCTAGGGGAGAACAATGAGGGATGAGATGGCTTAGGGGAGAACTATGAGGGATGAGACGGCTAAGGGGAGAACTATGAGGGATGAGACTTTAATAGATCACAAACATAATCTGATCAAACCTACAAAATCTCCAGTGATGTAAGTGTACATGTCAGCATTATTAAGTTTAGATTTTTCCAGATGTTTCTACAAAAGATTTATCAAAAGGAAGGAACACCCACCTTTGTTATAACTACTCTCTGCTGACTCCTGTAGAATCGTATAATCCTCTCCACAATGTAGAGGAGGACAGGCCCCAGGGTCCACTTCCAGGCCTTAACATAAAACAGTGCATGTTCATTAACTTTCCAATTTTAATTTCATAAATGATTTATTTCGTTAAATATTGTATGTTGATGGAGTTTATCATTTATTATTTTAAACAGAAATGTTCTTTATAAAAAAAAATATAATATAATATCAAGTCTTGAAATAATCTCCAAATTTTTTAATCTATCATGACAATTAAACTGCAACAGAAATATACCACATATAATCAGGGTTCAACTTTCTTTCCCAGGAGGGTGTCAAAGAGCTAGGGGATCATGCAATGTACTGAACAACGTGTTAAATTGATTGGTCGTTTTTTCATTTCATACGTCTACATTAAAAACACTTAAGTGTAAATACACTAATAGCATAGCTGAATCAACTTGTCGACTATATTGTCATCCAAACCATACACATAAACATTTCACTGTTGTGCTATATGACCATGCATTTAACTATCTACAGTCGAATCTGCTCTAGTGACCATTTGTTTTAAATGACCATCTGTTTTATGCGACCAATTTTCATTCCTCCCAACCGATTTTACTATTTAATTTAACTGTATTTAGCAACCATTTGCCCAACGCAACAAGCGACCACCCAATACTGACCCCAAAGATTAAGTTAGACGACATTTGATACATTTTTGCGACCATTTTTGACAAAAGTAACCCAAACGATAGTTGAAATAGCTGCGTGACTCCAAATTTGGGACCGTCACCACATTTGATAAAGGGCTACTTAACAATTGTTTCACCAAGTTCAGTGAACAAATTTAACAAAATCAATTTCCAAACCGTACAACTGATTTCCAACTGGGATAATACATGATGTTTTAGTAACACAAATTATCCACTTCATCTTCAGAGAAATAAAATGTGATTTAATATTCACAACTTACATTAGCAGCGAGTCCCTCAAACTGAGGATTGGGACACTCAGGAACTTTGTTCCATTCATTGAATCTTTGGTAACACTGCTCAGGGTTATGGACATTTGTGTTGCTCTGTCGTCTCACAATTCCCCTGGAACAAGGATCAAAGCTACAGTACCACTTGTAGAAATGTAGAGACAGTGTGCGGGGAACATGATTTTAGGAAGTGCTTTACAGACAAGTTGTCCTGGGAATGTATGAAGAATTATGTTAAAAGGAATTGAAAGAGATCTGAATGTTGACTTTTTCAGAGAGATTTTTATGAATGGCTGTATTAATTGAACACTGAGTGAAATAAATCACTTTTATCACATTTATAGATTCTTTATCTCATTTCCCAAAAAATGTAATAAATATATATACTTACTGAACACCATGGACGACGAGACCAATGAAAAATATGACAAATAGATGATGTGTGAACCAAAACACTTCGAAGTAGGACCGTCTGAAAGAGAAACAGAACTACAGTAAAACCACTTTGTAATGCCATTACCCATCAAACCGCCAACCCCGCATACCGCCATTTATTTACTCAGAACGGATTTCCCCCAACGTTAATGCACCCATTGTAACGCCAAACCCCATACTGCCATCATATTCCCAAAACAAATGGTTAAAATCACACTATTTACCGCCAATTTGAGTCGAGGACAGGTATATCCCGATGACAGGAATGTTACGTACGTGTGTACATTGTAATGTTTCAAGTGACTGCCGACTGACCAGGTTAATCAGCTGTATGGTTGTGTACACATAAAATCGTTGAACCATAGCTAGACCTTTGTTTTCTTTCTACAGTTAAGTTTTACTGCAGAAGTTATGATAAATAAAGCTCACTTCTGCGATTAACTTACTATTTATTGTTTTTCTTCATATTCAAAATGAACACGCCAAAGAGAAGACACTATTTCAGACTACAACAAGAAATCGAAGATTGTTGAATTTTTGACCTTACATCCAAAATTTATGCAACAACAAATTGATGATCATTTTACTGCCCTTTGGGATACAGTCATCAATAGGTGTACAGTTGGAGATATTTTAGCACGACACTTCAATAAATATTGCATGCACAACAATTTGATACATTCATATAACAATTCTGAAAAAAACTGTTTCTGAAGTATATTATTATTATTTTTTACATATAAGTTCAGTTGGTGTGTGAACATTTGGGTTCAAAACGGTAAACCTGATATACCGTTAAACTCGTTATACCGCCAAAATCACAGAGGACAGAAGGTGGCAGTATAACGAGGTTTTACTGTATATCTTTACACTGTTTTCCCATTATCAATTTCTACTCATTTCATTTCGATATAAATATATTCATATAGCTATACATATTGAAACTAACTGATAAAACTTATTTAAGCAATCTCTCTGGATTAAAAATATCCAGATTTCTAGGGGACTTTAAAACAAGACTTTATCTTCTGTGATAAAAACCTACATACCAGAAAAAACATCAATTCTTATTAACCTTTGCAGCTGTGTGAATTAAGATTTATCATAGTAATTCAGTTATAATCCATGATACCAAATTCCTTCAGTGGTTTTACTGAGATGAATGTATCCGTTTCATGCTTGGTTATATTATACAGACCAGTATTTGATGCAAACCTGAGTAATTCTGTTGAGGATGTTACCATGATGATTAGGGCAAGAGTTATGACTATCCCACTCACACCAGCTACCACCTTGAGGGTCTCCAGTATAACATCCTGCAAATGAAAACAATGCCAGTTAATACTAAGACAGGATTAAAAACTCAATCACACAATTATCAATGTAACCGTAACACTCTGACAGTATAACTGACTCAATATGATTACTGACTAAATATCATTACTGACTCAATATGATAACTGACTCAATAACTTAATAATAAACATCACTCTGACAGGATTACTGACTCAATATGATTACTGACTCAATAATAACTTAATACTAAACATCACCTTGACAGGATTACTGACTAAATATCATTACTGACTCAATATGATAACTGACTCAATAACTTAATACTCAGCATCACCCTGACAGGATTTCTGACTCAATATAATTACTGACTCAATATGATAACTGACTCAATAACTTCATACTTAACATCACCCTGACAGGATTACTGACTTAATATGATTACTGACTCAATATGATAACTGACTCAATAACTTAATGATAAACATCACTCAGACTTGATTAATGACTCAATATGATTACTGACTCAATAACTTCTTACTTAACATCACCCTTACAGGATTACTGACTCAATATGATTACTGAGTCAATAATAACTTAAAACTAAACATAACCTTGACAGGATTACTGACTTAATATCATTACTGACTCAACATGATAACTGACTCAATAACTTAATACTAAACATCACCCTGACAGGATTACTGACTCAATATGATAACTGACTCAATAACTTAATGCTAAACATCACTCAGACTTGATTACTGAAGCAATATCATTACTGACTCAATATGATAACTGACTCAATAACTTTATACTAAACATCACCCTGACAGGATTACTGACTCAATATGATAACTGACTCAATAACTTAATCCTCATGACAGCATCACTCAGACTTGATTACTGACTCAATATGATAACTGACTCAATAACTTAATACTAAACATCACCCTGACAGGATTACTGACTCAATATGATAACTGACTCAATAACTTAATGCTAAACATCCATCAGACTTGGTTACTGACGCAATATCATTACTGACTCAATATGATAACTGACTCAATAACTTAATACTTAACATCACCCTGACAGGATTACTGACGCAATATCATTACTGACTCAATATGATAACTGACCCAATAACTTAATAATAAACATCACCCTGACAGGATTACTGACTCAATATGATAACTGACTCAATAACTTAATGCTAGACATCACTCAGACTTGATTACTGATGCAATATCATTACTGACTCAATATGATTACTGTCTCAATAACTCATTAGTCAACATCGCTTTGACAGTAATACTGACTCAATATAATTACTGAGTCAATATGATTACTGAATCACTAACTTAATACTCAATATTACTCAGACTTGATTACTGACTCAATATAATTACTGAGTCAATATGATTACTGACTCAATAACTTAATACTTAACATCACCCTGACAGGATTACTGACACAATATCATTACTGACTCAATATGATAACTGACTCAATAACTTAATACTAAACATCACCCTGACAGGATTACTGACTCAATATGATAACTGACTCAATAACTTAATGCTAGACATCACTCAGACTTGATTACTGATGCAATATCATTACTGACTCAATATGATAACTGACTCAATAACTTAATACTAAACATCAACCTGACAGGATTACTGACTAAATATCATTACTTACTCAATATGATAACTGACTCAATAAGTTTATCCTCAGCATCACCCTGACAGGATTACTGACTCAATATGATAACTGACTCAATAACTTAATACTAAACATCAACCTGACAGGATTACTGACTAAATATCATTACTGACTCAATATGATAACTGACTCAATAACTTAATGCTAAACATCACTCAGACAGGATTATTGACTCAATATGATTACTGACTCAATAACTTAGTACTTAACATCACCCTGACAGGATTACTGACGCAATATCATTTCTGACTCAATATGATAACTGACTCAATAACTTAATACTAAACATCACTCTGACAGGATTACTGACTCAATATGATTACTGACTCAATAACTTAATACTTAACATCACCCTGACAGGATTTCTGACTCTATATGATTACTGACTCAATATGATTACTGACTTAATATGATTACTGTCTCAATAACTCATTAGTCAACATCGCTTTGACAGTATTACTGACTCAATATAATTACTGAGTCAATATGATTACTGAATCAATAACTTAATACTCAATATTACTCAGACTTGATTACTGACTCAATATGATTACAGACTCAATAACTTAATACTCAACATCACTCTGACAGGATTACCGACTCAATATGATTACTGACTTAATAACTCATTGGTTAACATAACTCTGACAGGATTACTGACTAATCATAACCTCTATATAGGACAAAGGGTGGTTTGGGTTCCAAGTATCTACATCTACATTATTAACAGCTGTGAATCCAGTTTTTGTTTCTAATATTTTATAAGACTAAAAAATAAAACATCAAAATATTTTTACAATCACCAGTTAATTACAAATTGTGTCCATACCCCTGTGTCATCCCTGATGAAGTTGAGGTAGGTGTTGTTATTTGATGGTCCCAATGCATTGAGGGCTCTCAGTAAGTCTCTGTCCTCCTCTGAACGACTGTTATACGACTCAAAGTATCTTTCTACGTTGAAGATATGTGCTCCTGTGTGTATCACTGCAACATATAACACCCAGTACAGGTTTATTGTTACCATACAGTCGTAATTCTACCTGTACTCTACAGTTATATTAGTTTACATTGTAACTACAGTCATAACTCTACCTGTACTGTACAGTTATATTAGTATTCATTGTAACTATAGTCGTAACTCTACCTGTACTGTACAGTTTGTTAATTTTCATTGTTACTACAGTCGTAACTCTACCTGTACTGTGCAGTTTGTTAATTTTCATTATTACTTCAGTCGTAATTCTACCTGTACTGTACAGTTATATTAGTTTACATTGTTACTACAGTCGTAATTCTACCTGTACTGTACAGTTATATTAGTTTACATTGTTACTACAGTCGTAATTCTACCTGTACTGTACAGTTATATTAGTTTACATTGTTACTACAGTCGTAATTCTACCTGTACTGTACAGTTATATTAGTTTACATTGTTACTACAGTCGTAATTCTACCTGTACTGTACAGTTATATTAGTTTACATTGTTACTACAGTCGTAATTCTACCTGTACTGTACAGTTATATTAGTTTACATTGTTACTACAGTCGTAATTCTACCTGTACTGTACAGTTATATTAGTTTACATTGTTACTACAGTCGTAATTCTACCTGTACTGTACAGTTATATTAGTTTACATTGTTACTACAGTCGTAATTCTACCTGTACTGTACAGTTATATTAGTTTACATTGTTACTACAGTCGTAATTCTACCTGTACTGTACAGTTATATTAGTTTACATTGTTACTACAGTCGTAATTCTACCTGTACTGTACAGTTATATTAGTTTACATTGTTACTACAGTCGTAATTCTACCTGTACTGTACAGTTATATTAGTTTACATTGTTACTACAGTCGTAATTCTACCTGTACTGTACAGTTATATTAGTTTACATTGTTACTACAGTCGTAATTCTACCTGTACTGTACAGTTATATTAGTTTACATTGTTACTACAGTCGTAATTCTACCTGTACTGTACAGTTATATTAGTTTACATTGTTACTACAGTCGTAATTCTACCTGTACTGTACAGTTATATTAGTTTACATTGTTACTACAGTCGTAATTCTACCTGTACTGTACAGTTATATTAGTTTACATTGTTACTACAGTCGTAATTCTACCTGTACTGTACAGTTATATTAGTTTACATTGTTACTACAGTCGTAATTCTACCTGTACTGTACAGTTATATTAGTTTACATTGTTACTACAGTCGTAATTCTACCTGTACTGTACAGTTATATTAGTTTACATTGTTACTACAGTCGTAATTCTACCTGTACTGTACAGTTATATTAGTTTACATTGTTACTACAGTCGTAATTCTACCTGTACTGTACAGTTATATTAGTTTACATTGTTACTACAGTCGTAATTCTACCTGTACTGTACAGTTATATTAGTTTACATTGTTACTACAGTCGTAATTCTACCTGTACTGTACAGTTATATTAGTTTACATTGTTACTACAGTCGTAATTCTACCTGTACTGTACAGTTATATTAGTTTACATTGTTACTACAGTCGTAATTCTACCTGTACTGTACAGTTATATTAGTTTACATTGTTACTACAGTCGTAATTCTACCTGTACTGTACAGTTATATTAGTTTACATTGTTACTACAGTCGTAATTCTACCTGTACTGTACAGTTATATTAGTTTACATTGTTACTACAGTCGTAATTCTACCTGTACTGTACAGTTATATTAGTTTACATTGTTACTACAGTCGTAATTCTACCTGTACTGTACAGTTATATTAGTTTACATTGTTACTACAGTCGTAATTCTACCTGTACTGTACAGTTATATTAGTTTACATTGTTACTACAGTCGTAATTCTACCTGTACTGTACAGTTATATTAGTTTACATTGTTACTACAGTCGTAATTCTACCTGTACTGTACAGTTATATTAGTTTACATTGTTACTACAGTCGTAATTCTACCTGTACTGTACAGTTATATTAGTTTACATTGTTACTACAGTCGTAATTCTACCTGTACTGTACAGTTATATTAGTTTACATTGTTACTACAGTCGTAATTCTACCTGTACTGTACAGTTATATTAGTTTACATTGTTACTACAGTCGTAATTCTACCTGTACTGTACAGTTATATTAGTTTACATTGTTACTACAGTCGTAATTCTACCTGTACTGTACAGTTATATTAGTTTACATTGTTACTACAGTCGTAATTCTACCTGTACTGTACAGTTATATTAGTTTACATTGTTACTACAGTCGTAATTCTACCTGTACTGTACAGTTATATTAGTTTACATTGTTACTACAGTCGTAATTCTACCTGTACTGTACAGTTATATTAGTTTACATTGTTACTACAGTCGTAATTCTACCTGTACTGTACAGTTATATTAGTTTACATTGTTACTACAGTCGTAATTCTACCTGTACTGTACAGTTATATTAGTTTACATTGTTACTACAGTCGTAATTCTACCTGTACTGTACAGTTATATTAGTTTACATTGTTACTACAGTCGTAATTCTACCTGTACTGTACAGTTATATTAGTTTACATTGTTACTACAGTCGTAATTCTACCTGTACTGTACAGTTATATTAGTTTACATTGTTACTACAGTCGTAATTCTACCTGTACAGTACAGTTATATTGGTGTTCATTGTAACTACAGTCGTAATTCTACCTGTACTCTACAGTTATATTGGTGTTCATTGTTACCATACAGTCGTAATTCTACCTGTACTGTACAGTTATATTAGTTTACATTGTTACTACAGTCATAACTCTACCTGTCCTGTACAGTTATATTAGTGTTCATTGTTACCACAGTCGTAACTCTACCTGTACTGTACAGTTATATTAGATTACATTGTTACTACAGTCGTAACTCTACCTGTACTGTACAGTTATATTGGTTTACAGTGTAACTACAGTCGTAACTCTACCTGTACTGTACAGTTATATTAGTGTTCATTGAAACTACAGTCGTAACTCTACCTGTTCTGTACAGTTATATTAGTTTACATTGTTACTACAGTCGTAACTCTAACTGTACTCTACAGTTATATTAGTGTTCATTGTAACTACAGTCGTAACTCTACCTGTACTCTACAGTTGTATTGGTGTTCATTGTTACCATACAGTCGTAACTCTACCTGTACTGTACAGTTATATTAGTTTACATTGTTACTACAGTCGTAATTCTACCTGTACAGTAATGTTATATTAGTTTACATTGTTACTACAGTCGTAACTCTACCTGTACAGTACAGTTATATTAGTGTTCATTGTGGTTGTTTTGTCAGTGTGACTAATTCACAATTACCTAACTGTAACATGTAAATCAACCTACAATGTCCCTAGGTTACATTATACAGGGAGAGGTCAAGGTATTCATTTCTGCATTGCTTAAAATTTCATTGAATCAGAGTTGACGCAGTATTGCATATCAAAATGTACATATATGTATAGGGTATAACTTGTGGCATATATACAGATGTAGGCAAATATATTTACAGTGTAATTAATCATTATCTCCATCTATACAGCAATTCACTATCTGCAAAGCAATTTTGTATGATGTTACTTAGTGCTTGATTCGGACTCAAAAACTATTTATTTCACAAAAATACCAATATATCTACTGTGCATACTAATTTTTCTACAAGTCTAACTTATTACCGGCTACATTAAAATTCTTGTTTTCATTCATTAAAACCGGACCCTGATTTTCATGACTGACCAAGGAGAAAAAAGATAATAATAAGGGTTCCTATAGTCAGGTCATCAACAATAGACGCCATGGTTGACTCAACACGTGGCAGGCCAGAATGTCTCACACCTGTACAGACCACTTACCACGACAAACCCAATCTTTTTATCAGTAAGCCACAATGATTTACTATCACTTTAATGTGCATATGTCTCTGCTATCCTATTATAAAAAGTAAACATCAAAGTAATGTAGTATAAGGCTTTATTGAAGAAGATAAATCGAGAGTATTATTTAACTTAGAAACTGAAGTTAAACCTTTGATCATTAGTCATTAAAATGATTTACAAGTTCAAAAAATGGTTTACCATGTGTAAGGTTTATATTACACATATAGGTAATACCTGGTAAATGAAACCCTAAATGTGGTCTAGATAGCTAAATTAAGTTTCATGCCAGATATACCTTCATGTAGTAATTTTGTAGGCTACCCTATAGGTATTATTCTGTAGAATGTCGTTGACAGTGTCATGGCAACAGATCAGTACATGAAAATAAATATCCATGGCAACAACACTAAGATAAGGGTCAGTTGTTAGAGTAGCAATTAAATAAGTAAGTGAAGCTTACCTAGTAACAAAACTGGAGGAACAGCTATGTATCAGTAAATGGTGATAGACTGTTGCTTTGGTAACTGATGTTTACCTGACTGTAGGACAATCATCATACAGGCTATGTATCAATGGAAGGCGATAGTCAGTTGTCATGGTAACATGCATTTACCTGTCTGTAGGACAATCATCATACAGGCTATGTATCAATGGAAGGTGAAAGCAAGTTGTCATGGTTACATGCATTTACCATGTCTGTAGGACAATCATCATATAGGTTATGTATCAATGGAAGGTGATAGTCAGTTGTCATGGTAACATGCATTTACCTGTCTGTAGGACAATCATCATACAGGCTATGTATCAATGGAAGGCAATAGTCAGTTGTCATGGTAACATGTATCTACCTATCTGTAGGACAATCATCATACAGGCTATGTATTAATGGAAAGTGATAGTCAGTTGTCATGGTAACATGTGTTTACCTGTCTGTAGGACAATCATCATACAGGCTATGTATCAATGAAAGGTGATAGTCAGTTGTCATGGTAACTGATATTTACCTGTCTGTAGGACTATCATATAGGGTATGTATTGATGGAAGATGATAGTCAGTTGTCATGGTAACTGATATTAAACTGTCTTTAAAATAATCATATAGGCTACGTATCGATGAATGTTGATAGTCAGTTATTAGGCTATGTATCGATTGAAGGTGATAGTCAGTTATGGTGACTATTATTTACCTGTCTTTAAAATAATCATATAGGCTATGTATTGATGGAAGATGATAGTCAGTTGTCATGGTAACTGATAATAAACTGTCTTTAAAATAATCATATAGGCTATGTATTGATAAATGGTGATAGTCAGTTGTCATTGTAACTGTTATTTACCTGTCTGTAGGACTATCATATAGGGTATGTATTGATGGAAGGTGATAGTCAGTTGTCATGGTAACTGATAATAAACTGTCTTTAAAATAATCATATAGGCTATGTATTGAT